GAGAAAACACAAGTGTAGTAAGCTTTTGAATAAAATTTAACTAGATTGCTCTGCATCCTGTAATTGTTTTGGAATCATTAGGGACTAGACAATTCATCTGCAATTTGGGGGCTAGTTTTGCCTTCATCTATCAAAGAAGACTGTTTAAATGACATCAAGGTATTGATGTAACAACCTTTTAAAAAATGTCCACGCAAAGTGTTAGGAGTATGTATGTGCTTTAGGAACATTTTTCTCTCCACCATTCTACCAGGAACTTTAACAGATTTTGTATAATATATTTTAATGTCATGTTTTAAAATATTAAAATATGTATTTTGAAAATTATTTTTGTAAACAATGCTGTGAATATACTTGAAAGGCATGAAATATTTGCAATGGACCAGTAAATGCTATTACTGCTCGTAAAAGAAATACATAATTTTTGAGAAACATGAGGGATAAAGATTGCAGTTGGAGCTGAAAGATTGGGGAAACAAGTTGCTCATTCAGTCTGTCCATAGGCATGCAAATATTGTGTCCCATCAGCTTTATTCCCCAGGCTTACGTGGCTCATGACATGGTCTACCTGACTTACTGTGCATACCCAAAGGTTATGGTCTAGTATTATGAGGACCGTACACTGCTGTTGTTAGTTGCTACTCACTTCAGTCACTCTGCTCATGGACATGCAAATTTTGTGTCCCATAAGCATTATTTTCCAGGCTTGCGTGGCTCATGCCATGGTCTACCTGACTTACTGTGCATACCCAAAGGTTATGGTCTAGTATTATGAGGACACTACACTGCTGTTGTTAGTCCCTACTCACTTCGGTCACTCTGCCCATGGACATGCAAGTATTATGTCCCATCAGCTTTATTCTCCAGGCTTACGTGGCTCATGCCATGGTCTATCTGACTTATTATGCATACTCAAAGGTTATGGTCTAGTATTATGAGGACTATACACATCTCTTTTTAGTTCCTGCTCACTTCAGCACTGTCTTCTGTAATGCTAGTTTGGGGGAGAATATGAGAGGGCCTGTGCTAGACTTAATGTCATTTAACTAGTGTTCTACAATTGGAATTCATGTATGTAGCTGTGCCTACATTCCAATGAAAGGTTTTCTTGTTAGTTGAGGAGTTTATGTGTGAGTTGAAAAACTTTGAGAGCTGGGTTGTTGTAAGTTTTCCAGGCTGTATGGCTATGTTCCAAAAGCATTATCTCCTGACATTTCACCTGCATCTATGGCAGGCATCCTCAGAGGTTGTGAGGTCTGTTGGAAACTAGGCAAGTGAGGTTTATATATCTGTGGAATGTCCAGGGTAAGAGAAAGAACTCTTGTCTGATTGGAGCAGGTATGACTGTTGCAATTGGCCACCTTGATTAGCATTTAATGGCCTTGCAGCTTCAAGGTCTGGCTGCTTACTGCCTGGGAGAATCCTTCATTGGGAGGTGATTAGCTGGCCCTGATTGTTTCTTGTTCGGAATTCCACTGTTTTTGAGTTGTTCTTTATTTACTATTTTGATTTTAGAGTTTTTTAATACTGGTAGCCAGACTTTGAGAATTATTTCATTGTTCCAAAGTACATACCTCCTCAAAAAAAAAAAAATAAGATGACACCTTTTAAAAATAAATCATATATTTTCTTGTGAAATAATTTTTACGTATCATTTGAGGGAAACAGATGGATGTGTTACATGGATATAGATGGGCAAACTAGTGGATCTGCTATCATAGGGCTGTTGGATCCTTTGTTGATGTCACTTTTGCTCCTCTTGCAGCTGTTCTGAGATGAATAGGAATTCTGTCAAGTCTGAACCTTTGATGCAAGACTGGGAAAACTATTCTTCAATGTGGAGCCACTGCAGGAAGAATGGTAGTAAAATCAAGAATAAAATCTGAGGTCCCTTCTACACTGCCCTATATCCCAGAATCTGAACCCAGATTATCTGTTTATCCCAGATTATATGGCAGTGGATACTCATATTATCCAGTTCAAAGCAGAATATCTGGGATTAGATCCTGGGATTTAGGGCAGTATAAGCCAACCTGAGTCCATGCACAAGTATTTATAAATATGGTGTAGTGGTTTTCCTGTATCATAGTCTTTCTGGTTGTAAACTTAGCAAATCATTCAAGAATAAGAATAAGATAGGGCGATTGCTGACTAGGGGCCCTTCCACACAGCCATATAACCCAGAATATCAAGGCAGGAAATCCCACAGTATCTGCTTTGAATAAATGGCAGTGTGGACTCAGATAACCTGGTTCAAAGCAGATATTGTGGGATTTTCTGCCTTGATATTCTGGGTTATATGGCTGTGTGGAAGGGCCTTAGGATACTATTCTCTCTTGCTGTCTCTAATACGTTAATATAAGCAAGAATTACAATGTGATACTTCCATTTTCTAGAACCAAAATTGAATCATATCCTTTGCTCATGCGTTGAGAATTGTACAAAAAATATGCGGAAAGTCCATTACTTATCTTGCTACTGAAGATGATTGATAGATGAAGATTGTCTTGTTCTATTTGATGAAGGTTCTACATGCAATATTGAGTGAGTTTTTAGATATGAATACAAGGCAATACACCATTATTTCAATGCTTTGCCCACTGTCCAAGAAGTTTTGAGTAAATTCTTGGTGTTACTTGACAGTGGTTTATATTTCTCACTCATCGTATTTGAAAACACTCTTATTATGATACTTTATAGAAAGGGGAGAATGATAAGTTCTACAAGATTTGTTTCTTTAAAAAGCAGAAATAGTAAACTTTTTCATAACACAGATGTCTTCTATTATTATTTTTATCCATGTATATCATGGCGCATCCGTTAAATTGATCATCATACATGCCTCTTGCAGAATATTAAAAGAACCTGTGAGGGTATCAACCATGAATAAGTAATTAATCCTAGGAAATCATTAGATTGGAAGCATATAGCAGAAATATGTTGGGAAAACGAGGTGTTGGGATATTGAATGTATGTTTAAAGCATGAATTTTAAGATAAATGTTCCTACTATAAACATTCTGCAGGTGTACTTTTAAGAGGAGAAAAATGCTTAGAATTACAGGCTGCATGTTAAGTAAATTTTGAAAGGCTGAAAAATAAAAGATAACTGTATTCTCGAGAGAGGTAGGATGGTAACTAATTCAAGCAACTCTGTGATTATAGATTGCCAGTGAGAAATAAGATAAGTAGAAGGATAAAACAAGGAGAAGAAACTATGTCCAAATGGGTATTGGGCTTCAATTTCTGAAGCAGTAGCCTTCTTGATAAACAAAGAGATTTTACAAATATCTACTTCTCAAGGAGTTGCAACCCTCCCACTTTCAGGAATTTTCTGCCAACCTAGCAGTTCAAAAACATGCAAATGCGAGTAGTTCAATAGGTACTGCTCCAGTAAGAAGGTAATGGCGCTCCACGCAGTCATGCCGGCCACATGACCTAGGAGGAATCTACGGACAACCCCAGCTCTTTGGCTTAGAAATGGAGATGCTTTGAATGCGATCTTCCTGCTTTTTGGCAGGGGGTTGGACTGGATGGCCCACGAGTTCTCTTCCAACTCAATGATTCTATGAGCACCACCCCCAAAATCAGACACGATTAGACTTAACGTCAAGGGGAAACCTTTACTTTGACTTACCTTCTACTAAATAGAATTTCATTAAGTCTAAAGTCGTTTTCTTTTTCTCTGAACAGATATAAATGTGCGGTGCAAAACTAGTAGGGATTGGATTGGATTTTGCTACATTTCCTTTAAGGCTCTGCTGCATTGTAAAAGATCTATTTAATTCTCTTCAACCAGTTAGAATGTACTTTAATCCAGGAAATATGTGAATTGCAAAATGGGGCAACATTGTTTAAACTAACCATGTAAATTCTTACTTTCTTGATGATTTTAATTATTTTGCCCTATTTGAGATTTCCTGTAACAAATGACTTATTGGTATTAATAAATGTATGCCATGCCTCTCTGTGTCTGTGCAGTTTTCAAACACAATGATTTCTTCATTGCACTTCTTCCTAGCTTCAGGATGTTCCAGGTTGTTGGTTGTAAAGCCTAAAGGGTTCTGTGTCACGAATTTGATCAAAGCACAGTCTTACTCTGCTGAAAGCAGAAATTTCCAAATTAGCCTGTTGCTTTGTCCCATTTTATTGTGTGCCTATATCTGCTTTACCTATATATATTTCTCTTTTCTACAGATATTATCAAATGAATGAACATATATGCTGGTCCAACTTAGTAAAACCCACTGTATCAGATGGGCCAATTATTTGGGCCCAATCTACATTGCCATATAATGCAGATTCTGAATGCAGATTAACTACATTGAACTGGATTATTTATGACAATATATGACAGTGCCGTCTCATATAATCCAGGTCAAAACAGTTAATGTGCATTCTGCAACTGGATTATATGGCAGTGTAGATCCATCCTTTGTGGCTCTACTCAAGTTGGGCTAGAGCATAGTTCACACATCTTAAATTAGTAATGTTTTATCGGGGAAGGGTCAATTTTGATGTTTTGTACTGTTTTATATCAATGGCATGGAACTGTTGCCAACTGTGAACCGCCCTGTGTCCCCATAAATAAATAAATAAATAATAGGCAAGTTGCTAAATAAATATCTGATACTTTCCTTGTAACTGTTCAGATGTTTTGTGCAAACGAACATACTTAAGGAGAGCTTTTTTCCCTTTTGCTAAAATACATGTTCTTTGTTCCCTCAACTTTGAAATCCTTTTATTATACTTGTACTAGATTTTTGTCCCCTCAGATTTGAGTAATATGACATATACATAAGGATTACGTAGATTTTGTTGTTTAATTGGAAACTGAAGTTCTTTATTGCAGTTACCTTTTGTAATTTGATTCTGTGTGTGATAAGAAAGATTTTGTACTTGAGACAAAATATTCACTCAGCATGGAATTTTCTTATACCATACTAACAATTCTTTTACAGTAGTATTTTAAAACATATCAAACTTCTGTTTTTGTTACAGTATTACAGAGACTTTGGTGTCTTGCGAGGTAGTCGGAGCCATAGAAGAAATGACAGAGCCACTGAAACAGTGCACAGCTTGGCTTCAGGCGTACTTCTGTGAGCCATGGATGATAGAGAAGCTTCCAATACCTCCTTTCCACCATCCACTTTTTGAGCACGGTCTGTATATTGATTAGTGTCATACTAGGTGTTTTTTTGGGAGGGGACATTTCCCCAAAGCCATGTGACTTTCTGATGTTTATATTTAGTTTGTGTAATTTATTGCAAGATTTTAAAATTAAAACATGACATCCTGGTTATTATTATTATTTACAACATTTATACCCCGCCTTTCTCAACCCCCCCCCCCCCCGGGATTGAGAAGATTTAAAATGGGTGTGTCTTGAGTATCAGTAAGTACCACACACCCTCCTAAAAAAGGCTGCCACTTCCCTCTATTTGACCACTTAGAGAGTTTTAAGGCTCACTGCAAAAGTCTTTGTTCTTCTCTGTCACCTTCAGCCCAGCTTCATAAAATCTTGAAACAGTAAGGAGCTTCATACTTACATTCCCAAATTTTGACAGATCCAGAACTTAGCAAAACCGTATGACATATACTAAGACTATAGGAGTACTTAATCTTTGTGTATGATATAAACTTTAGAGATATTAATTTTGAAACCAATAAATGCCATTAAATATATATGTGCAAAAGGAAGAGATGGGTAAGGAGGAAAGGGGGGAACACAAGATGTAGTGAACAACTAGGAAATAATGAGACCAGACCAAGAAAATTAGGGCCACTTTATTTGACCTATGTAAGGGCCCTTCTACATATGCACTAAAAACTAGAAGTAACAGGGATAAAAGCGTGGTGCTAAAATGACATTTTCAGCTGAAAAATACGTGTTTAAAAGGTGCACTTAAAACCCAATTCTGGTATAAAAAAAAATGCATATTCACATGACTATATCACTGCAGTCATGGGAAACATGTGACTTCCTTCCCATACTCTGGTGTGGATTGCTCCAGCACATCATCATGCTCCAAAGTGCGTCATCGTGCTCCAAAGCACATAACAGCTGATCAGAGCTGACAAAAAAATGCAGCTACAGACACACTGGTGGCTAAACAGAAGCACAATTGGAATGCAGTTACAATTAGATCTCTGAAACCATTCCTTTGTTCTGATCTTAATTATATCAAATAGGGCTTGAATTTATAGTTTGTTGAAGAGAGAGATAAGAAATCTACTTGTGTGTACATTTAGATATCCGCAAGAGCACATATATGATCCAACACATCTTGTGGAGAATTTAAAAAACCAACTTTCCACCGGATGTCCCCTGTCCCGTCTTGTGGACTTTGTAAAATCTACTACAAAGGAAGGTGCCAGGATGGTGGAAGACCATTTTCCAGAATTGACAGGTCTGTGCCTGTACTTGCTATCAGGTACTGCAATTTTTAAACCCACTTATTTAATCCAAATTGGAGTCTGTCTGGAAGTGCCCTAAGTAAATTGTATCTGAGGATGAACAAAGAACTAGGGGAAGCAACTTGACGTAGGTCAAACTGAGACCAGATGTCAGGCCATGATCACCTCCTGAGTTTGTCCCTTGGATGAGACCCTGAGGGTAGTCCAAACTATGGGTTGCTCATCCAGCCAGTCATTTCCTGGAAAGCCAACCCAGAGCACTCTCTCCCAAATCCCATTACTTTATAAGGGCTGGGGAGGTTAGTTCCAAAGGTAGCTTCCTTCACAGCTGTCTGGATACCAGGACCTAAAGAGGCCATTCCAGACCCTCACTTTTCACTACAAGGAGGTGAAAAAGTATATACTGAACTCTTATAAGAGAGATCATGAGGGAGCAGACTGGCCTTAAAAATCCTAGACCCCCACCCCCAAATGCACACACACATTTGAAGCCTTGGCTGCTTTTACCCTGGCCTCTATTTATAGGGACTATCAAATAGCTCTCACCTGTAGCACTAGTTGTTGTGTGGTCTCGGGAGATTAAAAAGCCTTCAAATAAACTAGCTCAGTTATATTTTAGATATAACTGAAATAAAAAATACAGGAATTTTGTGGGAATTTGAGATGAATAAATTGCTTGGCTACATGGGTTGTTTCCATTTCCCTAATGGATCTTGCCTGGTCAGTTTCAGTTCACTGAGATACTGACAAAACATAACTAAGCTCTGAATTTATACTGAGACATAAAAAGGTGGGGCATATATATAGTATTGTCCAGAATAACAAATGCTCTGGAGCATACTTTTCTTTAGAATATAGGCTTCACCCAACACTCATGAACAACATTTGGGCTTTTCCACCATTTCCTAGAAACTTAAAAATCTCATTGAGAGATTATTTTCTCAGCTCTGTCTTACTAAAAACAGTCTGCTCTGAACTAAAAATAGGTTTAACCTAACTGTACACCAAGTTCATCTTAAGCCTGCACATATTGAGAATCTTATTTGCCATTCAGAGACCTTGAAGAGCTTTTAAAGGTAGCATTTGTTTTCTATTGTATCGGAGCATTATCTACTAGGTAAAATTCATAGACTGAACCAGGTAATTACAAGCTCTGGTATCACTCATGGCAGAATGTGGGTCAGTGACTCATCCATCAAAACATTTGGGGGAATTTACACCAGGACTGCTGGATTTCTCCTGTTCTCTTTTGTTGTTCTCCTGTGGGAAGCCTGTTCCCTGCATGCTGTCTTCCCATTTTCTGATTTTACAGTGAGCATTATGATAATTAATTTTGGAAATGACCATGCACAGTTGCTCTCGCTGCAATATTCTACTTTTTATCATTTATTTTAATTGCTCATTTTATGCAAGTCATTCTGAACATTTCTAATTTTGAAGAATATTACAGTGCTATAAGAGATCACTTAACATTATTATTAAAAGACTTTAGAGAGGGAGGGATTGGGAATAAATAGAATACAATAGCTGACCAAGCCTGATAACCTACTTTCTGATAGTTAAAGGGACTCTTGATTGATATTAACCTATTAGTATGACTGTCCTTTGATAGAAAGGAGGAAATGAAGAGTCAATTTATGTCTAAGACTTAAGTTTCAGTTGTCACTAATAAAGAATCCCTTTAAAATGTGATAAAGAATTCTTTGTACTGTCAGCTTTCAATACTTCCTATTTGAAATCACAGGTATTTTCATTAAACAGGTGTGGATTATTGTACTGGAAGTATTTTTGCACCAAATAGATTACTAACTGGAGCTGTAGATGCCTCCACCCGTAGCCAGGATTTTGTTTTGGGGAGGGCTGAGTTTGGTTGGGGGGGGGGCTAAGTCTGAGTGAAAGAGGGTCTACCCTAGCAAACCTTTTGTATCGTTACCCCAATACCCCCATGCATATGGGATATATTGAGCATGGTGATCAGATCATGATATGAATAAACATAACAGTTTAAATAATGCACCAGTAAGGCCTTTTCGCGAACCACCATGAGAATTTCGGGGGGGGGGGGCTGAAGCCCCCAAAGTGCCCCCCCCCCGGCTACATGCCTGGCCCCTACTCAAGCAGCTCCATTGGCCTCCAACAATTTTCTGGCCTCAATTCAAGGTGCAGGTTGTTACCTACAAAGCCCTATATGATTCGGATACAACCTGTCTTTGAGACCACATCTCTTTCTATGAACGTTACTTTGAGATCGTCAGGGGTGGCCCTTCTCTTGGTTCAACACTGTCTCAAACACGGTTGGTGGGGACAAGAGAGAGAGCCTTCTCTGTAGTGGTTCTTTGGCTCTGGAATATCTTCCCTAAAGAGATTAGGTTAGCTCTCACCTTTGGCTCCTTACGATCCAGTCTAAAAACATTGATTTTTAAGCAAGCTTTTGGCCTCAAGTAGGCTGAAATGGGCCCATATGAGGTTAACACTTTGACACTTTAGTTGCAGTCTGAAGGCAGCTAGTTTCAACTGTGTTTTTATTTTATTTTATGTATTAATAGTGGGGGGTTTTTTATAACTTTTGTGTGATATTGTTTTTATACTCATGTACCATTTATGTTATATTCTACACTTGTAGTGCCTTGTAAGTCTCCCCGATTCCTTTTTGGGAGATGGTGGGAGTATTTAAATAAAGATGATGATTATGATTTCTTTTTGTTGTGTCAGGAGCGACTTGAGAAACTGCAAGTCGCTTCTGGTGTGAGAGAATTGGCTGTCTGAAAGGATGTTGCCCATGATGATGATGATGATGATGATGATGATGATTATTATTATTATTATTATTATTATTAAGAGCAAACTACAGACAACCTATTACATTCCAGCCTGAGCCCTGCTATATGCACAATGGAGGACCTCCTTATAGCAACACCAGAGGCACGCCAAGTGGCCAGCTTTGGTCAAAGGACATTTAATAAAATGCCAAGTTTGCAAACTTTGTGTTTTTAAAATACATTACAGCTGTACCCTTGGTTCGCTTCTGATACAATAAATTAAAAATATATATTATTGTTATTATTAAATATATCTTCCCATGGAACTGAAAACTGAAATGTTTAATGACCGTTTGTTTACATCACTGATCTATTTTTGGAATCAATTTTTTTCAGATAAATATATGGAATTTCAATAGGGAACCCCCCTTCCCGATTCATTTATTAGAATATGGACTAAGTAGGTGTGTATATTTTATGCTGGAAAAAGGAGTGCAACATAGAAAAGCTAAGTAATCTATTTGATGACTAACACTGATAAATAGTTGCAAACCATACTTTTTAAAAAATACAAAATTTCACATAAAAGACATTTTATTAGATTAAACAGTCTAAAGATGAAGTCATCATCTGAACAAATAATGCTCAGTGTGGTCTGAAATATTTATTTAATATCCTTGCTTTATTTTCCTTCAAATATGCTACTCTCATAAACTCTCTGTGTCAAATAAAAACAGGTGAGTTAGGCAATATTTGCAGGTAGAAAAAATTGACTGTTGTTAGTTAGATAAGAGCACTGCCCTAATGAAACAAAGGATCCCACTATAAAATATGAAGAGAACTTATTATCTGGAAAGAAATTGTAGAGCAATTTTAATAGAAAGAAGGGATGAACAGATCAACAGAATTCTTCTGCGAATGGCCTGATCCTGGATTCAGTGTTGCCGTCAATGAATTTATAGGCTTAGCAACTGGAAAATATCCTG